GCTGTCCCTGCTAGTATCCCCTGGGACACAGAAGGCATGTTTCTGCTTGCCCCGGTGCTGCCCTGAAGCACCATCCGTAGCTTCTGGGGCAGCCCCTAGGGTGGGACCACACCCCAGCGTTGCTTTGTCCATGGTGGACTCTGATTTCTTCCGGGCATATCATGTACCACGATGTGGTGCTGTGACCCACCTGTGACTAATTCCATCCTCCCAGCTGTGGGGCCCAGTCCCACCTGCCTCATGCAAGTTGGAAATCTCAGCTTGTGTGGGGCTCCGGCTGCTCAACAGGGAAGGGAAAACACCACTGGCCAAAGGATTTGGGGATTTAGGGTGACTCCACATGGTGACACCTCCCCCCATTTCAACTTTTCTTTATCCTTGGGGAGTCAGGGAGGCCCCCACCCATCCCCAAGCATGTAAACCCCACATCCTTGGTGGGGGCCACATGATTTAATAGAAAGAACAAAATTACATACAGAAAATGATCACTAGGGGGAGCCAAGTTGCTTGATATTTCGGTAGCAGTCGCTTGGTTTGGGAGCTTGCCAGCCATAAAAGCCTGCAGCCAATCGGCTTTGTCCTGCCCTTTGGGCCCAGGGAGGGGGCGGCCACATTTAGGCCGCTTGGTCTTTTGGGTGCACTTTTGCCATCCCTGGTGTTTTGCCTCTGTCGTTCAGGTGTGTGTCGCTTTAAGAGCAGCCAGGGTCTGCCATTCACATGGGATCAGATTCTGAGAAGGGCTCAGCACGTGGGGTGTGTGGGGGTGCCGAGCCCTTGCTTCATTCACAGCAGAAGCTGCAAGTGCAGATTTGCCTTTTTGGAACCTCTTAACTCCAGTGTGGTCGTGCCTTTAACTGACCCTGGCTGGCCCGAGATGGGGTACAGGCTGAAACTCCAGCGAGCACACCTCAGCAGCTGCTCACATAACCACGCTGCAGTGTGGACACAGGCTTGAGGCTAGTCCTCACCCTTACCACCAGACCTCCCCTCTCCCCCGGCCCCCGATGCCTGGAAAGGACAGACAAGATCTCCCACAATTCACAGGGAAGAAATTGGTAGAGTTGCCCGGCTTATTGCATTCCAAGGGGTTCATGGGATGCGCCCCCCGCCCCCCAAGTCTGAGTGCCATGTACGAGTGAGTGCAGGACCCAGCAGCCGGAGGTTTATTTCACAGCACGGCCGCTCTCCCTCGAGCTCGGCTGACTCAAGAGGAGCGAGGAGGTGAGGGTAGCTCGCTCAGCCGTGGAGACAGACCCTGGGGTTGCAAAGCCACTGATCCACTGTAGCCAACTCTGCGTGCCTTAGTGAGAACAGATGGCGGGGGGGAGGCAGCTGCATTTGTTCCAAGATGAGCTTGGTGACGTGGGTGTTGTCCTTTCACAAGAGCTACAAACCCGCCTGCTCTCTCATGCCTGTCACTTGGGGATTAGATTTCTAGAGAAATAAGAACTTGTTTCCTCTGGAAAGTTTCGGTGGAAATGAAAAGGTGTTATTTTGACTCAATCTGAGAGCCCGAGAGGCTGGATCCCATGGGCAGCCAGGGCACTTTGCTCGTCAGAAGCTTCCCGCAGGATCCTTGAGGCTCACTGCACCTCCCCACTCAGCTGGGCGTCACGAGCCTCCTCCAACCCAAATATAACCACAGCCAAAGCAAGCTGAGATAGGGTGCAGGGGAAGTCACAGAGGGGGGTGGAAAAACTGTCCCTCAAAAGTCACAGCAGCGAGGGGTCACGCGGGCTCAGCAACTTGGGCGTGAATAGCCAGGGGGGTGCCTTTGGCCAATGTTCGCCGTCGAGTTTGGGACGTTTTGAAACATTTTCCTTTTGCTTCCCCCCTGTTTGCAGAGAGAACTGAGTGTGTCTATGTGTGTGTCTGTGCATGCCTGTCCATGTGTGTGGCATGTGTCTGTAGGAGGGGTGTGTATAGAGGGGTAGGTTCTGTAAGGGGGTATCTGTGGGTGCCGATAGACATGCTGTGCATTACACACACAGATTATATTAAAAGAGCATGAAGCTTGCAAAAGCAAGCAGCCAGCTGTCCAGAAATGCCAAGGTGAAACCTGTTTACATGACTGTCACGCTGCCCTCTCCAGAAGATGCACTGAGTGTGTGCAACCCTCCCTCCCCACACCGACACACTGGACCTCCTGAGCCCAGGACCCCAAACCAGGCTTTTCCTGCCAGCCTACTGGGACTGAGAAGGAACTGGGGTCAGAAGAAGAAGGGGGCAGTTGGGGGGACACGAGGCAAAGACTGAGAAGGAAAAGGGAACCATTGGCCCCAGGATTGAAGGGAAGGGGTGCAAGGGGTGGCCTAGGAGGGAGGGCCAGGGGCTTCTTATCCCTCATAGCTGCAAACCCCCTCATGAGGTACCGGAGGGTCCCGCAGGGGTAGATTTGAGAGAGACAGAGCCCCTGACTCCAACTCTGCAGGAGTTGTCGGGGGAGGAGTCTGGCTGGCTCTTTCCCCCCCTTTTCCTGTTCCTGCCCCCCCCCCCCCCGATTCCTCCAGCTGCCCCTGCTGAGGTGAGGACTCTCCCACTCAGATCCAGCAGGGGGAGGTGGCAACCGTGGTTTTTCACCCTCTTTTCTGAGCTGGAAATGACAAATCGGGGAGCAGACAAAACTTCCCCTGCTCCGCAATCCAGGAGTCCATGTGGCCCCCAATCCCGGCTCCTTCCATTGCTCCTGGAGGGGGGGGTTCCCCCCCAGCTCTGCATTCCCCTCAGGCTGGGAGGAGGGATAGCTCAGTGGTTTGAGCATTGGCCTGCTAAACCCAGGGTTGTGAGTTCAATCCTTGAGGGGGCCATTTAGGGATTTGGGGCAAAAATTGAGGATTGGTCCTGCTTTGAGCAGGGGGTTGGACTAGATGACCTCCTGAGGTCCCTTCCAACCCTGATAGTCTATGATTCTATGATCTGTGGGGCTTAGAGACACAATCTCCATGGGTAGCAGAGGGTTAGAAACCCCCTGGCTCCGTTCCCAAGGGCAATGGACAGGGCCCATCCCCACAGGTGCTCGCTGGATGGATCCTGCATATGGCAATGGGAGCGTCATGGATGAACAAGCCCCGAGAAGGGAGTGGAGGGGGAGCTGGGGCCTTCCCCTGGGGAGGGGCAGGAAGGGGAAGGTCCCCGGGCTCTCTGGGCCCCAGAACTGGCTGGCAGGAGAGACAAAACCGGGCCTCTTGTTCCCGCTGGGATCCTTTGCCACGTTTTCTCTCTTGCATGCTGCCATTAAGCCCCGCCTCCAGGCCACTTGGGAGTGGGCGGGGATTCCCTATGTCTGGGCGGGTCCATAGCTCAGCTGTAGGCTAGTGCTTGGGTGGTGGCCAGGTTCGCCTGTGTCTGTAGAAATAACCCCCGGTGCCATCCGCCCTTTGCCTCCCTCTCCGTAGGAGGGAAGCCGGTGGTAATTCCTTGCCAGTGAGGCAGCGAGGAGGCTACGGGGCTCCTGGCTTCCCAGGTGTATGATCTCAGCTGGGGGAGCCCCTTTAATGCCCTGGGAGCCTGTGGCAGAGGCTGGGGAAGGGGAGTGAGCTCAGTGCAGTGGGGCTCGGGGGTGGAGCGGAGCGGCTCCCTGCCCAATCTGGGAGCTCACTGCTGACCCTCAGGCTCTGGATGCTGGGTTGCATTCCTGGGTCTGAGGCTGGATGACCGAGCAGAAGTCCTTTCCCCTGTCTGTAACCTCTGTTTATGCACTATGGGGGTAATGGTGCCTTTATACAGATGGAAAGAGCCATGTAAGAGCTCAGCATTGTTATTTAATGCCTCCCCTGCTGCTGTGTCAACAACTGTTCACTTCCTGTCCCAAACTGTTGTGTCGCACTGCTGTTAAACCGCCAGCCTGTCCCACCCTAGTTGCAGCTGCATTCCAATAGGTGAGAGAAGCTATCACAGTTGGCAAAGCCTGTGGGGCCAGAGAGAGGCTGGGGGAGCAGAGATGGTCATGGTTATCCCTTCGTGTAGCTACTCCAGAGACCACACGGGGGGGTTGGGACAGGAAGGGCAGGGGGACATAGGTATCATACAGCAGCCTGCATGTCCCACAAGGATGTGCCGGGGGAGGGGGAGTAGCGGGGATAGCCAGAGACAGAGGGGGGAAATAATGCACCCTGTACATTAGGGGCGGTGTTTGCTAGGAGATGGCAGCATGGCTTGGATACTAAAAGGCATGAATGAGACAGCAGTGACTTGAGGGACAGCAAGTGGCTGACAGTTTGCCTGGGGGACTGGCTGGCTCAGGGGCTGGGATATGGGGCCTTTCCCTTGTAGAAGGTTTGTAGAAGGTTTTAATTCTTATCTAGCATCTGGTCAGAGGGGTGCTGGCTCCGTGCATAGGGAAGGGGAAGTGAGACACTTTCTGCTTTCAGAGGTGCTGGGTCCAGTGTAGCCCCAGGCAGGGGACTGGATGGTTCTGGGGGTCTGGGAATGGACTATGAGGCCTTTCCCCTTCAGAGGGAACCAGTTCCAATTCAGCCTCAGCACCTGAACGTCATTCTGACCTGACATCCATTCAGCGGCCCCATCTGAAACAAGGCGCTGGGTCTCCACCTGGGCAGGACAAGCACCCATATATCACACACACTCCCATCTCCATTGGGATGAACTGCCCCTCCTTGTTGGCAGCCTTAGCGGAGAGGCCAAGGGTGGACAGAACCAGGGAGATGGAGCACCCTTCTCCTCTGTAAAGGGGAGCTCTTCCCAGAGCAGGGCTAAGGCCTAGGGTGTGGTGGGATGCTGTGTTTCAAGGGGATGCTTGCCCTGCCATTGAGCCCATATTTGCTACTGTAATTCAATGGGATTTGGGCTCCCAAACTTGTTAAGGCTCCTCTGAAAATTCCAGCCTGGAGTGTCCTGAGATCCTTGAATGGATGGCACCATCTAAGGCAAAGACATTTATTAATTGTATGACTGTCCACAACCCGAACAGGAACCAAGAGCAAATTACAAGTTTGGTGCAAACTCACTTCTCCTGATGGCTCCTGTGCCTGCAGTTTAACTCAGTAGCACTTCCGATGGACAATGTACGGCCCATGCTCTTTGTACTGCTCCTTTCGAATCCAACATGACTGGAAGTTCTTCAAGGAAGCCAGGATGGAGCCTCCTGTCCAAGAAGCATAGTTCCTCAGCGGGATGGAGGAAACTCTCAGCTTGGTGTTAGCTGGCACTTTCTGAAGGAGCTCTCTGGAAAACCTCTTCTCCAGCCCCTCAAAGAGAGAGGAACCTCCACAGAGAAGTACATTTTGGTACATGTCTCTCCTGGCTTCTTTAGGGACTTTCTTTAAGCTTCTCTGGGCCATGCCGTGGATGCCTACAAGGGAAACACCGGGCAAGTTTGGGGGGTTGAATAATCTCTCTGGGCACTGGAATCGCTCTTTCCCTAGGCTGATGATCTGGCCATCCGGCAGCTGGAAATCTACCATGTATTCCTCCTTGGGAAGATTGCACTCACTTTCAAAGTCAGCAGCGACGTAGCAGAACTTATGCTTGATGTCTTCCACAATATGCATCATCCTCTCATTAAACGCATGCCCAGTGTCCTTGAGAAGCTGTAGCAGAAAGGAAGTCAAGTCAGATCCAGCAATATCCATTCTCTCAGTGGCATGTGGCAAGTTGTAACCTTCAAGGACCGGCACACTGTGGGTCACTGCATAACCCGCATCTACCACCAAGCCACTGATTTTCCCATGGGCATATACTGACAAGACAGAGTGATAGGCAATGTACATGCCAGGAGAGTTCAGAGATTCAAACACCACTTCCACCATCTTCTCTCTGTTGGTGGTAGGGCTGAGGGGTGGATCTGACATCAATAGAGCATGCTCTTCTGGAGGAACCTTAAGGTCATGATAGAGCATGTGTCTCCAGAGGACTTCTGCTGCCTCCCAATCAATGATGATGCCATTCCTCACAGGCTCAATGATCTCCACATTGGGTTGCACTCGGGCTCTCTCTCCAATAAAAGTGTCTGGTCCAGTCCTTCCCGACTTTATTGACCTCTCTGAAAGATGGCCGACCAAAGTACCAACAATGGATTTGGGTTTCTGCTGCCCAGCAAATCCTGCTTTACAGCTCCCAGTACCCGTTTCTATCACAACGGCTCCTGTCTTCTTCACAGCAGGGCGGTCTTTCGCAGGGGAGCTAGACCTCTCTCTAGTGAACCTGCTTTCTTCTGCTGTTCCTTTAGCCTTGAGGTACTGATCTGGAGAATGGGCTCCAGATCTTAGAGAGGGGCTCTTTGTCCGTAGACTGCCTGATTGTGGATTCATTGACCTTGAAGTCACCCTTCCCTCATTCATCGTTCTTGGAGGCATGGGGTCTGGACTGGATAGTCTTGAGCTAACTGTCCTTGGACTGTCTGAAGACATTCTAGCGGAGGCAGGAATGGCCTCCCTGGAGGTAAAATGGGGGGTGGCTTTTAGGGGAGTTAGCTTACGTCCAGGACAGGTTTGATCACTGTTGTCATAGCGAGAACTATGACATCATTCCAGCTTCCTCAGTGAAGCTGTTTCAACAGGATACGCTGATCACAATGGATGATGCATTTCCCCAACCTGGTGGTTTGGCTGACTGTGTTAGCATTCCATTCCCTTCTGGATCCTGTTTGCCTTCAATCTCTGCCTTTCTTCCATCCCTGCCCATCTGATCTGGAACAAGACTTTCTTGGCTGTTCGTTTTTCACTGTCTCTTTCTGACCCTATTTGTACTGGACCTAACCATTGTGTCTTTTCCATTTTTTAACTAATAGCTGTAGGATAAAGCTAGAAGTTGAATTAACCAGTCTTTGGGCCAAAGGAACCCAGTATAAAGTGTCTGCTTCATGATCCTTTCAAAGAGCTTTATACCGATATCAGTTGAATGTTGGTAGCGTTATTTTAAAGGAGCAAATGGAAAAACGTGATTCATCATTAAGACTGTTGTAACAAAGGGTGGCCATGGTCATGGTCATGGGCAAAATTGAACCAAGGATCGTTAGCACCAAAGCTGGTATTATCAAAGGGGTGCAGGGGAATATGGGCCCAACTCCCATGAAACCTGGGCATCTAACTCCCTTTAACTCTGCTGACAAGCCCAGGCCAGGTCTCTGCCACTTGAGCCAACTGAGAACTCCTCTAGTCGTGAGAAAGTAGTCGGCTAGCCCCATCCCTGGGACTGCCAGCTGGAGGGAGACCTGGGCAGAGGCACCAATGTCAGCTCTTAAAGGTGTTTAGGTGTCTAAAGATGTAGATAGACACCTAGTGGGATATTCAAAAGCACTTAGGGGCCTTTAAAAATCAGTCCCTAAAACAACGGATGCTTCTATCCAACCTTTAAAAAGAGAACGGAACCTGGCTTCTCCACCCACCCCTTATAACTGGACACAAGTGACACTGCACAGAGCTCGGGAGAGACATCTGCCATGAGGGACGTGGGGGAGGAACCTCCTGAGAAAGAGCGTCTTGCCGAGGAAGCTGGTTTGGAGCCCAGCAGACTGTGGACACCCTAGACGCGCGTTGCTGATCACCCTGACCACCAGGTGTCACTACTGCACCACAAACAGTAGCCGCCATAGCAGAAAGTGACGGGTGTCAAGCGACCAGCACCACTGGCCTTTTTGATGATTTCTTTTAAATATTGTAAGTGTATCGAGGGCTCGTAAAGAGCGACAGCTCTGGAGACAGGGTTATTTAGTATTATGACAGCAGCCCCCAGAAGCCATGTGCTAGGTGCTGTACAAAAAACGGGGTGAAAGAGAGAATCGCTGCTCTGATGAGCTTACGATTTAATTCGGCAAGGCGAGACACACAGAGGTAGGAGGGGAAAAGAGAGGACGTGACTCACCCGAGGTCACACAGCAGCTCAGTGGCAGGGCAAGAAACAGAGCCCTGGCCAAGGCACTGTCTGCTGGACCATGCTGCCTTTGAGGACGGTTTTCTGTTAAACCACAGCAAAGCACATCCCGGGCAGCGGCTTTGCAAGCTTCCTTTACACCCCCAGTCCTGGCCTGAGCAGCGGGGCTCAGGTTACAAGCATCCTGCTGGGACTGAAGCTCTTGGGCTTCCGGCGGGGCTTGGGCTTCGGCCCCCCCATACTGGGGATCGTGAGTAATTTTCGTTGTCAGAAGGGGGTTGTGGTGTAATGAAGTTTGAGAAGCCCTGCTCTAATGCAAGAAAATCCCTGGCACGTCTCCGCAGAAGAGTGAGCTGCTCTCGGGCTGCAAGGCAAACATGTGGGCTGCAGCCACTCTGCCCCATGGGTCCTTGGACCCAACTCCATGCTCTTCCCTACATGTGTCATTGCACCCTGGAGGCCTTGTCTCAGTTAAGGTGGCATGCTTTGTATTTGCCTTCCCAAAGGCATATCACAGAGGGTTTCCCTGTGCTCTTTTGACATCAGTCCTGTCTGAAGTCAACCCTGGACTGTAGAGAGAGTGTGATTACAAGCCTGGGATCACCTTGGGCAAGTCACTTCCCTGGGATCACCTTGGGCAAGTCACTTCTCTGCATAGCCTCGGTTTCCCCATTCTGTAAAATGGGGATAATGCTGCTGACCTCCTTTGGAAAGCCAGGTGAGATCTACTGATGGAAAGTGCAATGTAAGAGGTAGGCATTATTATTTCACAGGCTCCCATGAATCTGGAGCACATGTTAGTGCATGCCCAACGCAGGGTCCCCTGTTTTGTCCACTGCATTTCTTTGTCAGCACAATTGTGGGCTAGCAGCTGTTGGGATCTGTTGCCATGGTGAAGGAGTGTCGCGATGATGTCACAAAAGCGTTTGCAATCAGCAAGGTGCGGAATTACTCAGGACTCAAGCTCGGTGGCCGGCAGGGGAGGAGGGGTCAGAAAGCTACAGCTCCAGCAAAGCTGCCCTCGGCATCCGTCCCGTGTCCTGAGAACCATGTGGTCGTGTGCTGAGATGGGTCGGGTGTGTTGCGGCCTGTGCAACTCGAGGCTACAGCGTAACCGAAACTAGGATCCTGTCACACCAGGGCTACGTGAGTTAGGCTGTTGTCGACACTGCAGCCTTTGTCGGCACAACGTATGAAAACACCACCCGCCCGAGCGACGGCAGTTACAGCGACGTCAACGCTCGTGTGCACAGGAGCACCACGGCAAATCAACTGGGACACGGTGGTTAATTTCTCAAACGGATGTAGCCAATTGGCCACAGGATTCGGTGAAACGGGCGAGGCTTGAGTTTTTGCAAGCCAGCTGGGGGAGGGGTGGCGCACGAGGGCTTTGCCGTCTCTAATTGCTCTGGGTTGCCTGAGCCAGCTCCTACAATATGTAACTCTTTGAACACTCGCTAAAGATTATTGGTACTGAGCTCCCCCTGGAGATGCGGGTCCCATCTGGGAAGGCAGTGGGGCCTAGTGGGCAAGTCACTTCCCCGCTCGGTGCCTCAGTTTTCCCGCCTGCAAAATGGACGCTGGTTTCCTTTGTAAAATGCTTTCCGACTTACGGACGTAAGGGCTACGTACCATTATTGTGGTACTTGATGCAGTGCAGTCACAAAGCGGGAGACACATCCTGCCCCAAAGAGTTTACAATTTACATAGTCAACAAAGATAGTAGGTGGGAGGGAAAACAGAGGCACAGAGCTTTGCCCGAGGTCACGGAACTGAGGAGTGATAGCATCAGGAGCAGAACCCAGGTGTCCTGGTTTGCAAGCCAGCACCCCGTGGCCCAGCCTGCCACCTGCTACCCTTTTGTCTGCAGCGTTCATTGTCTCCATTACCTTTATTTACTTCTCCCATTTGTTCTGCGGTCTGGCACGCTCTGAATAGCAGAGATTATAGTAAAAAGAAAAGGAGTACTTGTGGCACCTTAGAGACTAACCAATTTATTATAGTGACAGACACAGAAATGTCAGCACCGACAAGCAGTAAACCAGGGCGGGGCTCTGACCGAATACCCTGGAAAGGGCAAGTCTTGCAATAGGTTCTTATCTCAGATTGACATTTCCATGATGCCCGCTGAGGAATGGCTGATCCCTTTGACCGGGTCTGAGGCTCTGGAATGGAGCAAGGCCGTTCTATGGAGTGGGGAAACAGTAAAATGCTCAGACCTCTACACTACATGCCCTGTTATCCTGGCTCTGGCGGTGGCCAATAGCCAATGATTCAGAAGAAGAAAAAATAATCCCATAATACACCTGACCAGCTGTGCAGTTCTGTAAACAGAGGTTGGAGGGGGGGCCTTCCTGATCCCTCAGGCTGTCAGTTTAAGCCCTGAAGCATGAGGCTTAATTAGCACCCTGAACTCTATCAATGACTGTGCTGGGTTCTCCTTGCCCCACTAGCTGGGCTGCAGGTCGGAGTGGCATGGTAGAGACAAACGGAGGGAATGGCTAGGGGAAGTGGTCTCTAGCCAGTGCTGGGGGAGCGGGCACTCCTGGGTGAGGCTTCTGGATGCCTGGGAAAGGATTGCTGGATTTTAAGCCAATGTGGTCTCTTCCCCCACACTCAGTAGCCCTGGCGTTTCATTCATCTTGATTAGAAACCGAGGGCAGTCATGTTCCAACCCCCTGCATTCAGCTGTTGCAATGCAAGACGTGAGCTGAAGGTGTTCGCCACAGCTGGACCACAGAGCAGGCAGGAGGAGGAGGAAGGGGATCAGAAGAGTCCAGGCCCCTGGAAAAAAATGGTGCTCAAAAACCTTTCTGCCAGATCATTTCCTGTTAGGAACTTGGGAAGGGCTGTGGCACACGGGCAGTGAAAGGGTTAACTGGAGCCAAGGAGCAATTAGTGAAGCTAGTTGCACCTGGAGGGTGGGCCACGCCCAGTTCAGAATGAGTGCTAGCTGGGGGGCAGGGAGCTATAGGCCTTGGGCTCCTTTCCTGAGAGGGGAGCATGGGGGAGAGGGGTCAGGCGCTCCTGGAGTGAGCCCTGACGGGAGAGGACAAGCTGCCTCTCTGGGGACACAGCCCTGGGAGGCGTCCCTCAGTGCAAGGAACTGCAAAGGACTCAGCAGAGCTTGGAAAGGGCTGAGGCAGGATGTAATCCAGGAGGCTGAGGGGAGCGAGGACTGCAGGCAGCCCTGGGGGAAGAGGCGGGACAAGGACAGCTCAGAGTGGGGACTGAAGTCATGGCCTTAGGCTATTAGATAGTTGTTTGCAGGGAGAGTTTTGACACCGTTGAAGGGGTGGGCCTGCACGGAGCTATGAGAAGAAGCAGACCCCGGCCTGGGACATAGCAGCCGTCCGCCAGGTGCACCAGAGGAGGAGAGCCAGCTACGCCAGACCCAGCCATTGGGGGGGCACACCGGCTGGTGAGTCACTATTTTTCTCAGCGGAAGGATACGTCACTAAAAACACTCTGAACGCTGGCTTCCCGGCCATAGAGGGAATCACTGTTTGAAATCCAGAGGCATGGCTGGAAAGTCCCACATTACAGTATTTCTTTGCTTACCAAAGCCTGTGGGAAGCAGCGTGTGAGTTCAAGTAGGAAGCAAAGAGAAAGGATGGTCCAGTGGTTAAGGCATTTGCTAAGGGTTTGGTAAACTTGGCTCCCAAGTCCTTGCTCTGCCACTGACTCCCTGTCTGACCTTGGGTGAGTCACCTAGTCTCTCAGTGCTTTAGTCCCCGCTCTGTAAAATGGGGATAATAAGCGTTTCTGTACTGCAAAGAGGTGTTGTGAGAATAAAAACGCTCAAGCGAGAGGGCTGTATACTCTGAAATAGAACTGCCCTAAAGCTGCTTTAATTTACACGGGAAGTTGGGCAGACTCCTGCCAGGCCCAGAAACAGGGGCCCTCTGTGCCCATTGTGAGCACAGAGAATCATCAGCCCTTATATGTTTTGTTCTGTGGCTCGAAACACCAGGCAGGCACCAATGGTTTATTGCTTAATCCCAGCCCAGATGCCAGCCAGTCCCTTTGGAACTCTGTCCCTCCAGACAGGAGTTTTCTCCAGATACAGAGTGTGGAATGCAGTCCCTGTAACTCAGCACTGCCATCCTATTTCATTACCTGCCCGTCCACCCTGCACCCTGCTGAGCCTGTTGGAGTAGTAGTGACTGATGCCACCAGATGAGTTTTTAACTCCTTGTTTCCTCCAGCTTAAAACTTTTTTGCTTACGCATAACTCAGAACGCACTGAGCTTTCACCATTTGACATTGTCGTAGAATCATAGAAGATCAGGGTTGGAAGGGACCTCAGGAGGTCATCTAGTCCAACCCCCGGCTCAAAGCAGGACCAACCCCAACTAAATCATCCCAGCCAGAGCTTTGTCAAGTCAGGCCTTAAAAACCGCTAAGGATGGAGATTCCACCACCTCCCTAGGGAACCCATTCCAGTGCTTCACCACCCTCCTAGTGAAATAGTTTTTTCCTAATATCCAACCTAGCCCTCCCCCACTGCAACTTGAGACCATTGCTCCTTGTTCTGTCATCTGCCACCACTGAGAACAGCAGAGCTCCATCCCCTTTGGAACCCCCTGTGACGTTGCACTCCATATGATTTTATGAAAATATGCTAATGAGTGTGAATATAATGGAATATGCTTCATGCAAAAGGTCTCTTGTAAGGTGTCATTACAAAGCTTATAATCTGTTGAGTGTGGTCATCCTATTTTTATAAATGTGTCATTCTTGTATCTGAAACGAAAAATATAACTCTAAGGTCCGATGAAGTGAGCTGTAGCTCACGAAAGCTCATGCTCAAATAAATTGGTTAGTCTCTAAGGTGCCACAAGTCCTCCTTTTCTTTTTGCGAATACAGACTAACACGGCTGTTACTCTGAAATAAGGTCCTATTGTAATTATGCAGTGTGGGCCAGTAATGGTGGTTTAGAGTCTTGATGGCTCCCATCAACTAGGACAATTGGTTGTAAATGGCTCTGTTTACTTGCAAGCCTTCCTGTGAGTCAGGCCAGGAAGAATGAAGGCTTGGGGGTCTCACAGGACATGTGACCATGCCACCTGGTCCTGGAATCCATCTTAAACCTGGTGCTTTTCCATTTAGAAGGCGGGGATGGGGACCCAAAAAGTAAAAAGATTCCTGCCTTGTGCCAAAGCTATATAAGGGGGTGGAACAGAACAAAGGAGATTCCAGTCATGAGAAATCCCCTAGTTACCATCTGAGCTAGAGCTAACAAAAACTGTACCGGGGAAAGCATTGGGCCCAGACTAAGAAGGAGTCCAGTCTCTGAAAGAAGCTTATTGGAAAATCTCTGAGGGTGCAATTTACCTGTATTCAGTTTCTTACTGTATTAGGCTTAGACTTGCATGTTTTGTTTTATTTTGCTTGGTAACTTACTTTGTTCTGTCTGTTATTACTTGGAACCACTTAAATCCTACTTGTTATATTTAATAAAATCACTTTTGCTTATTATTGAACCCAGAGTTAGTGACTAATACCCAGGGGAGCAAACAGCTGTGCATATCTCTCTGTCAGTGTTATAGAGGGCAGACAACTTATAAGTTTACCCTGTATAAGCTCTATACAGAGTAAAACGGATTTATTTGGGGTTTGGATCCTCTTGGGAGCTGGGTGTCTGGATGCTGGAGACAGGAGCACTTCTTTAGCTGTTTTCAGTTAAGTCTGCAGCTTTGGGGCGTGTGGTTCAGACCCTGGGTCTGTGTTTGCAGCGGGCTGACGTGTCTGGCTCCGCAAGGCAGGGTTCTGGAGGCCCAAACTGGCAGAAAAAATGAGGACAGAGGTAATCTCAGCACATCAGGTGACAGTCCCAAGGGGGTTTCTGTAATCGAACCCGTCACACCCCCTGTCAGGTAATTGAAGGCTGCTATCAAATCCCCCCTTCACTCTTCTCTTCTGCAGACTAAACAATCCCAGTTCCCTCAGCCTCTCCTCGTAAGTCATGTGCCCCAGCCCCCTGATCATTTTCGTTGCCCTCCGCTGGACTCTCTCCAGTTTGTCCACGTCCCTTCTGTAGTGGGGGGATCAAAACTGGACGTAGTACTTCACACCCGAACCAGCCAAGAGCCTGTCACAAAATAATCTTGAAACGTTCTGCCTGAAGTCAATGACCTGGCAGAGCCAGGCTCTGACTGGATCTCCTCAATCCCAGCCCACAAGGCCATCCTTCCTCTGGGCCCTGAGAGCACATCTGGTGTTCTGTAAGCTAAGTGCTTAAAGAGCCCCGTGCATCAGCCTCTGTCAGCCGATGGCACTGGAGGCAGGGCGTCGGCTGAGGGGGGAATGCACCTGGCACTCTAGGAGGAAGTTGGATTAGCTTGTTTTAAGATGGTTGGTAAGAAGGGTGTGTCGAGCACGGAGTGTTGCCAAAAAGCTACCTTCCAAGACAAGGCAATTGTTTTCACAAATCAGACCCCTCATTCTCTCCCCAGCCCACAGGGCTAGGGGAATAGTTCTACCTAACAGTGCTGCAAACAGTGCCCGAGGGAAGGGGAGATGCAGAAAATAAGAAGCAGGGATCCCTTCACCAAGGAGACATAGGGCTCTGTAGCGGAAGCCAGGGACGGGCATTATGTGCCTGTCTAACTCTTTGCGGCTCGGATTCTGAGTCCTGTGCCAGGTGAGGCATTGGTGGCTGCTAAGCTCTGTGCAGGGCTGCTCCTGGGGCAGTTGCCCTCAGTGCAAACTTCCGGTGGTGCCAAATCAGAATCTGGACAGGTTGGGGGTGCCACGTCTCCTTGTCTTTTTTTCTTGGATTGTTGGCGTGGGGGTGGGGGTGGTGCGGTGCCCTGAGTGGCAAAACATCTAATGCTCCTTCCCTCCCTGAGACTGTTGTCCTTCTGTGTGTCACTGATCCAGAGGCCAGGGTGCAGGAATCACCGGTGGAAGTCTCTGGCCTTTGACCAGAAAGAGGTCAGACAAGATGCACACAATTATTTTGATCAACCGCCCCCTAATAGGGAGTGCTCCGGTCTGATGTCCGGGAACTAAGGTCTAACCACAGTCCAGTCAGAGGTGGGACTGCGGCTTTGATCGAGCTAGCTTGGGTATGACGACAGGCGCTGCAGTTACACCTCTGAGTGCAGTGTAGACGTAGCCTTTAGACCTCGACTGGTTCTGCTGGGGTGGTGCCCACCTCCTCTGTGAATCCGGCAGGGAGGTTGATCCACACCGACCTGTGGTCACGGTGAATATACAGTGTAGTTCTACACAGGGCTGCTTGAGGACGTCGATTGCAATATATGCTGCAGGGGGGAATCTCTAAAGAGAAATCTGGTCACGGCAGCCAGCCCTCCTTAGCTTGGTGCTCTAATTTGAATGCAGTGTGCCTTGCTTGCTGCCCGCTTCCGTCAGGCGCTGCACTGCCCAGCAGCGGCCAGGAGATGGCAGCAGACACCGGCACATCTATGAACTCACGCAGCTCAAAAAGAAAAGGAGGACTTGTGGCACCTTAGAGACGAACAAATTCATCCCATGAAGCGAGCTGTAGCTCACGAAAGCTCATGCTCAAATAAATTGGTTCGCCTCTAAGGTGCCACACGTCCTCCTGTTCTTTTTGCGGATACAGACTCACACGGCCGCTGCTCTGAAACCTGTCATCATGCCGCTCAGTCTCTGGAGACACAGCTGAGAAATGCTTCCCACCCAGTAGCCAGCCTCAGTCTTCTCACATGGCTTGCCCCGGGAAAGCTGAAGGGCTGGACTGACAGCCAGGTCGGACGCCAGCCCAGAGCAGGGAGCTCAGCGAGGTACGCAGGCGGCCGTGCCCATCAGCTGAAATGTGGCAGACAGAGAGTGATTCACAGGGAGGGTATTTGTGGGGAGGGGCAGGGCGATGACGTTGTGGTGTCCATGAGCACGGAGCGGGCAGGAGGCCCTCCACCCTCTGCCAAACACCTGTCAGCGGGTGGAGACGCAGGCTCAAGGAGGGGACGTGAGTGTCCTCTGCAGAACCAGCCCAATTCTAGAAATTCCTGCCCCGGCCAACTTCTGCTGGGTTACAGAATGTTCTAATGCGTAGTGTGACCTATATTTGTCAGAGGCTTTTCTAGCACCTTCCACATCCAATCATTAGCAGTAGGGGAGTCCCTGCGGGGCAAAGTCGGGGGCTTAGCTGACAGACTGAGGGATCTGTGCAGCTGCATGGAGCACGCACAGCCAGCAGCTAGGTCCCTGCTCCCCTCCAGAAAAGTGTACCTATGCACCTCGACGCTGACCTTCAGCACCCCACTCATGGCCCTGTCCACTCGGCCTAGTCACTTTTATTCAGACCCACCTCCCCGGCATTGCTTCGATTCTGGGCCCTCCACAGAGCTTGGCCTGTGCACTGCGGTGGATCTAACCGGAGAGCTCTCCATCTCATCTGGAAGTTGTCTGCTCCCATCACTGTGGTCTCTAGGGGCTTGTCACAGGGCCTGAATGGGTGGGTTGGTGCACCCCTCGCTCAGATGCACACTGAAGCTCCCTTATTGATTCTGCTCCTCCACAACTTGCAGGGGGGGGAAACATCAGTGACCAAACAGCACACTCAGGGGCTGCCAGTGTCCTTTTCCCTTAATGGGGGGTGAGGATTCAGGAGATAGAACCCAGGAGGAGGGTAGAGGTTGGGGTAGCTGAACTCATGGGCCTGGGTTGGGCAGATACAAAGCTGAGTGGGGGCTGAATTGATGGGGGGGGGAAGGGCAGGTAGATGTGAGTGCTGGGCGGGGGAACAGGATTGACTTGGAGGTTGGGGGCAGCGGGGGAGGGACAGAGGCGGGGTGGGGTGAGAACTCGTGCAGGGTGGGAGGGGAAGCTGAAATCCGCTCCCCAGTACATCTGGGACAGCAGGCACCATGAAGCATGGCTCAGACACCCGCTGAGGACGGGCGGGGGAAGTTCAACAGTGGAAAGCCAGAGCAGCAAACACAACATGGTTGTTTTAAAAAATGCGTCTCTTGGCTTTCTGGGGGATCCGACTCGTGCCTTTTGATCCCTTGTGGCTGGCAATACTGGGAGAGCGACGCAGCACAAACCAGGCGGCTTCTCACGCTGCTCGACCACCTGGTCTCAAAGGGCGAGGTCAACCGTCAGCCCTGACCCGCCGTGCCCTTCGCTTTCCCATTCCTGTCTCACCCTCCACCCTGCTGTGCCAGGCCAGGGTCTCTCTTGAGCAGCTTGGGCCCGTGGCTGGCTCGTGCCAAGACCATCACGGGCAAACGTTGGCCAAGGAGCCCGACGACTCTGCACAGCAGGTGGTGATGTGGTGCAGAGGAGGCCCAGAGAGTCGTGAGCTGTGATGAGCATGTTGCTCCCCACTGGCTCAGGAAGGAGAAGCTTGGAAGGGGTGCAAGCTTGCCACACACAGAATTGTACTGTCAGCTGGAAGGCCACTGACACAGGTGACTGGTGGGTGTTTGTTTGCAGCAAACAAACTTCTCGCTCTGGGCAAGAAGAAACCTGAGAGAACCATCCAGCCGCACACGCTTTCTCAGCTCCCTTCTCCGTGCAGGGGGATGGGCCCCTTTCTCTCTCTTACTTAGAATCTTGTCCCTGCCTTAGCAACGATTTAAAGCACAGAATCGCTGTGGGTGGGTTGGATGCAAAAGTCTCCCAGCAAAGGCCGGGAGGCTTGGTGGCAAGACAGAAGCTTCACGCGTGACTCGGCCTGTCGGCCCGGGGTGCTTCTGTATCGCATAGGGGGGTGTCTCCGCGCTGCAGCTGGCCGCGAGCTCCCCGGTCCGGGCGAAGAGGCTCGCGCGAGGAGCGCTAACTGTGGTAATGTGGATGTTGCCGCCTGGGCACTTAAACTCACCCAAGGCCTGGGAGCCTGAGCAGCGATGCAATTCTGAGCCTGCTCGCTCTAGCCCTGCTAGCGTGAGTCTCTCTGCCCCTTCGAGATCCCAGTGCTCTCTAAGCTCGGTGCGGGCGGTGACGTAAAGTGGTGTTGAGCTCTGTCTGGCAGAAGAGCGTAGTGGTGGGAGGAGAGAACTGGGAGCCAGGACTCAGGGGTTCGTGGCTTGGTTGCATGACCCTAGGAGCTTCACTGTATTAAAAATAAGCCCTCCCTGGCCTTCCTCCCTGCCATAAGCTCTGCAGGGAGTCAGTCGGAAAGCTAGGAACTAGCTTCCGCTTGCCAGGCTCAAGCCTTAGCTACAAGAGCCTCCCAGGCAGAATTATAAAGTGGTGGGGCAAGAGAATTCTCGGGTGCAGTGTCAGGGACACGACGTTCTCCTGGTGCCTCAGGCCCGTGCTTTATAGTGGGTGTGTTCCTCGGGTTACTTTTCCCCGGGTGAAGGGTTTTCCTGGCAAAGCACAACTCCTCTGGAGGATGCCAAAGCACTTTCCTGACTGTGTAGCCTGGCCCTGTTGCAAAGGAGTTTGGAAACCAGTCTCCAGAACCTGGTTTAGCCAGCCATAGTGGAGGGGCCTGCCCTGCCCTGGAATCTTGAATCCCAGCACGTTCCAGTCTTGATCCCTCCCTAGCCCAGCAGGAGGGGCTCACAGCACAGTAGTGGGAGCTGGCTCCAGGATTCGGATGCTGAGTGTGACAGGAGAGCGATAGGAAAGCGATGTCTGTGGGTATGGAGTTAGCTAACCGAGCACCATCTCCTGGCACATAGGAATAGCCAGCATTAAGTTAGTGGCTTCAATAAAGCCATGGGTTTGTGCTTTGTAAATGGCCCATCCTGAGTCCAGGGTTTGATGTGCAGTGCAGATAGGGTGACCAGATGTCCCCCACCCCCTGTTCTGATTTTCACACTTTCTATCTGGTCACCCTAAGTGCGGAGCTAGGGTTAGGGGGCGAATCCATCCATTGAAACAGCTGTGAGTATAAACCTGGCTCTCCCCTGTGTTGTCTGTCCCCACCGGTCACCCAATCCCAGCGCCTTTAGGTGCTGCCGCGGGCCCGACATGGAGCGAGCCAGGACCTATAGGGCGCTTCGGGTGAAAACGCCAGCTAGAATGGCATGGTTGGAATGTATGGCTGAATAAAACAGCCTCTTGCCCCTGGACTCACTGGGCCAGATCCTGGTGTAACTCGCTGGGGTGGAGTGGGAGGGTTAATGGGTGTTAATTGTTTCCAACAGCAGAGAAGCTGGCCCTTTAATCCAGTTAATTAGTCCACAGCCTCCCTTCACCCCCAGGCTGCAGGGCCATGAGGTATGATTACACCTGGATCTAATGAAAAATCCCTCCACTGCATTCCCTGCTCTGAGGGTCTGAACCTCCGGGGCTCTTTCAATACCGGGCTGCTGTAACAGCAGTGACTGCCCAGAGGGCTCTGAGGGGGTGACGTGGGAGGCAAGGGTGGGGAAAAGCAAGCACCCCATTGCAAAACCCCTCCTACGCTGAGGGCCCAGCTTTCTGACCTGTGAAGGCTGCGGTACATTGAAGGCAGACTCAGAGCTGGCCAACGTGGCACAGAGCCACGGTGAAGGCTGCTAGGTTACCCTCATGTCCAACCGTCCGTGCAAGAGGCACGCCCAGGAAAAAGAAGGCAAGGCCAGGGCACCACTGCGCCCCCAGTGCTGCCCCAGAAATGCCCTCTGCTAACATCTCCGCCTTTACCACAGCAACTGCCCTGGGGCCCTGATGTTACACACAGAGCCCCGGAGCCAGTCGCAGAGGCCAGGCTCGGAGCATCCTGCCAAACCGGTCAGGCTGGAGCAGGGGAATGTGTTGCTTTTGCCTTCTTTGTGACTCCACGGCCATGCTCCTTCTCGGCCCCTTGACTGCGTCGCAGATTGTGTTCTTATCCTGGTGACGCTGGGGAGGGGAACACAAGAGCTGATCTCCTTGAGCGCTGTCCTAGCACCACCCTCTGCCCCCTCTAAGCACCCTGCTGGAGCTCAGCCCCCATGGGCTCCTGCTCCGACTGGGTGCTGTTCCCCCGAGCTACCTCCCTCGTTCAGTTGTGCAGCGAATACCTCCGGAAGGGGGACTCTGCTCTGTTGTCCTCAGTGACACGTTGCAGCTTCTATTTCCCCTTCCCACCCTCCCACCGCTCCAGGGGCAGCCACTGTTCCCTGAGGACTTGCCAGCCCTAAGGCCATCCGGCGTTGTGTGTTGGCTGGCTGGCTCGTCCCCCATCCCGCTCAGTGGCACAGAATGTCACTCTTCACAGCTCAGGGCCTGGAGAACGTCCGCTCAAGGTGGCTGGCCGGAATGTGCCCCAGGCTGGGAGTAAGTTGTCTTCTGAGGAGCTGCAGGAAACTGCAGGGGACTGGACTAGATGACCTCTCGAGGTCCCTTCTGGTCCTATGATTCTATGATGGTTTGAGTGGCATGCCTTGTAGGCATCCTTGTCACAAGAGTCACCACTGCACCTGGCCCTACCAGTCCCCTTTTGCTGGAAGCCTTAGCAGAAGGCAAGACCGGAGGCCTGGGTCCCTCCAGAGCCACTTTGGCTGGAGGGGACATGGAAAAGCTTGTCTGTTCTGTGGATAAAGTGAGGCTCTGAGTCTCCAGGTATCTCTCGCCAGCAGTGTATCCCGATCCCAGTGCTTAATTTGTAATGAAAGAGGTGCCAGGGCTCAAGCCATTCTTCTACATTCATAACTGATGCACCAATCCCAGAGGTGCCGGGGCTAGGAACTGCCAGGCCTAGAGGTGCCGGGGCTCAGCTCTGGCAGCCCTGGCACAAATTAAACACTGTCCCATCCCATCAACTTTTAATTGAAGTGGCGTAGTGGAGAGAGAGGAGAAGCCCCACTGAAGTGAGGTAGAGTTCAGAGTGGGTGCCCGGGCAAGGGAATGGGTCTAAACT